GGAGGGCCCAGGAAAGCCCTTGAGGCAGCAGCCGGTGCTCCAGGTGACAGCCACACAAAGGCCTAGGCAGGGACCGAGAGGGCCACAGAGGCAGAGGAAGATGGGGAGAGGGAGAAGAGACTGGGACACCCTCTGCTTGGGGAGGCGGGGTGCACCCGATGCACCACAAGCCTGGGACCAAGCTGAGAGCTCTGGTGACCCATGCAATGCGCTGGGTCCAGAATGTATCAGGCTGTCCCATTCTCCTTCAGAAGATGCTGGGAGTGCTACTCTACCACCACAGCCTACACCAGGATTCAAGGTCCATCCCACTCAGCACCCTAGGCCTGGGCCTGGCTATTTCAGCTCTTCACTGGAGCCAGCCCCACACCCAAAGTCAGCCACCCCTGGCTGGTTCCACCACCTGCACCCCAATCCCAGCCGGGACTGGCCAAGCTCATGTGCTTCCAGGCCCACTATTGCTCGGCATCTCTGCCCCACTCTGTGGCAGCTTCTGGGTCATTTCATTTTAACCAGTTGTAAGTCTCGCCATGGATAATCAACCATGCTGGCACTGAGCAGTCGATTCCACAGCATTCGAGGAGGGCAAGAAGAGAGGCTGGATGGGAGATCAGGGCCAGGGTTAGGGGCACGGAGGGAAGGAGGGCTGAGGTGGGAGGGGGGTTAACAGGCCAGAAAGGACAGATTGGCTTATCTTTCCCCAGACAGGTGGCTTTTAGGGGTCAAGGACTTTGATACTGGTTTTCCCAATTTCACACCCCATTCCGCCCATTCAGGTTTCCCACGCAAATCCTGGATTGCCATTGTGTTTCTTTGAGGGAGGCAGGAATGAAGAGAATATCGCCAAATTGGCTGTTATTTCTCAAGCTCCTCACACCCTAGAGTAGGTAGCCCAGGTACAAAGAGGCCTAAGACACGGGAAGGCTCCAAGCCAGAGCGCACCTGCTGGGGCACTGGGCAGAAGTGAGTTGTGCATCGAGTGGAGGTGTGCACAGGGTGGTGGGTGTGAACACCCTGGTACACTAGGAGACAAACCAGTCCACAGCTGCTGAGCAGTCAGAGGGGACCCATGGTTAACACGTAGGTGTGCTTATCTGGCCTGACCCAGGCCCATAAGGCCCACACAAGAGCAGACACACCAGTGCACACAAAGCCCTGGCCCAGGCACAATCTGCAATGTTTCCAGGAGGTGGGGGCTGCACACAACAGCTGAGATGGCTTTTCTGCATGCCGGGCTTCAGCCCAGCCTTGTCCTCCAGCTCTGCCTGAGTGTCCATTGGACATTGACTACTTTGGCCATGGCTTTGAGGGACCCAGAAAGAGAATCTCGGCAGTCAGCCTGTAAAAGGCAGAGATATGGACAGAAAGGGGCCTCTTTTCCCTCACTCCAATGTTTAAAGGGGCAGAGGCCAAATCAACCATAATATCTCCAGCATGTCAGTGTAAAGGGTAGACTGGGAAAGCCAAAGAGCCCAACACCCTCTGCCCTCCCGTCAATGAATGCCCATTTCTTAAAGAGATAGGAAGGCCAGTTAGGGGTGGGCAGCCTGGCAGTCATACCTGTGGACTGACAAGGGAATCCATGCATGTCCACACCAGAACCAAGACCCACAAGATACATGTCCGCTGAACAGAAAGGTTGTGCGCACACAGCATCCTGTGGGTGTATTGGAGACATTCTAATAAGGCATTCTTTGCAGAACTAGGTACATAAAAACTGCCCAAGCCACACACGAATACTTATGCAGTATACATGAAAACATATACTGGGCACACACAGATGCACTGTACATACATTTATACCAAACTTCACACGCATCCTTTCATATGCAGACCTTGATTGAGAGGTGGAAGCCCAGCATTCATAACTGCACACACATATAGTACCCACAACAAGCACACATGTCCTTATGGAGGGAACCTGTAGGTAAGGTCAGAAAAGGCAAAGAGCAGAGTATTGGTATCTGTGCAGATCTGGGTAGAAATAGGAGCTGAGAGAGAGAGTGATAGATGCTGGATAGCAAGATAGATAAACGACAGGTGACACCCAGCAAGGCTCAGGTCCTCCAAAGCTGAAGGCTGCTGTGGAGTCTGACAGCTTGTTTACTGTAGTGGAGTAAACCTGCTTTCTCTGTAGGGTATGTTGAGAGAAGGAAGCATTTTAACTTCCAGGTTTGTCCCCTGTCCCCAGACAAAAAGGCACCTGTTCCCTGGTGTCACCTGCCTATGCTCCTCCAAGAGTCACTCTCCACAGTGTCACCCCTTTCCTTCCACCCATCAATTCTGGTTAGTTGGCTGAGCAGGGTCCATCCAGACCCTCCTCTCTGAGGCAGCCATTTCTTCGGGTTTCCAGGCCTAAGCTCTGTCTGAGTCAAGTATGTGACTGGCTATCAAAAAATGAGGGCAAGTGACAGAGCTCCTTATCCCAGAACAGAGTCTCAAGCTAGGTAGAATCCAGGCAGTCCCTTTCCCAAACTCCTACCAACTAGATCAATATTGCCTGAAATGTGACAATACAGGGAACATTTTCCTCCCTAACAGTGAGCACACACAGAGATTCTGACACTGCGTGCCAGGCCATAGAACTTGAAAGCTCAGGAGGTCGGCTGGATGCCCTCCTTCTAAGTAGGGACACATGCGGGAAACTTTCCCAGCATGGCACGCCAGGCCCCAATTGAGAACCCAGGGCACCTCAGGGCCAGGCCCCCTCTCTGCCCAGCCCGGCCCATGTAAACACCCTGGCACTGCCGGGAATGGGGACAAAAGGAAATCGGAAGTCAAAATTAGTTTGGAAACGGCGCGAAATTCCAGGCACGTTTCTCCTTAATCCTCCTTGCTTTGGAAATTGAACTTTCAAGTGAAGGCAAGTTTTCTGAAATTACTTCTTCAGCTCTTCCTCGGGTGCAGGCTGCCCTAGGCCAGAGCTGCAGAGGTGCCGCCAGCCACACCATCCCAGGGAACTGTGGGGGCCCCTGCACAGGGCAGGGAGGCCTGGGGCCAGCGGGAGCATGGTTAGCAAGAGGCGATGATTTTTCTGGTTTTCGTGATAAAGTGTAAACCAATTCTGAAATGTCTTAGGGGCTGGAGAGATTCCGGCTGATCCCAAAAGACGGGAAGAAATTTCAGGGAGACAGATTGAGAGCCATAAGGCAAGTCACACAGTCATACAGACACACAGGAGCGGTGAGGAGGGGGTCCGTTCCGATTCCAGGCCCTAAACTCCGCCAACTACCTCCTCCCCTCGCTCCCCCACCTTCCCCGCCTGGGCCACAGTTGACTCCGTCCCCCCAAGAAAAGAACGAAGACAAAATCTGCCCTCTCTGCTTGGGATGAATGCTTAGGTTTAGCGACCTTGTGAGTCTCCCCTTTTAAAAAAGCAAAGCCACAACAGCCGAAAGACTCCCAACATAACCCAAGGACCCACAAGGACCGCAGCAGGCTACAGTCCCTGGTTGCACGCGAGTCTGGGGGATCTAGGCTAGGCATCCCCCGCGGAAAAAACCGGCCTTAGCCCCCTCCCCCTGCACCCTCTCCTCCTTTTCGCTCAGGATTCGGCTTCGGCTCTTTCCCGAAGGGCCTGTTTCGGTCTTCCCAATGTCCCTCCCGGAAAAAGCTCAGACCCAGCCTTGAAACGCTGCCCCAGCTCCGAAGGCAGCGGAGCCGCAGTGGAAGCGAAGGCCGGGCCGCTGCACCCCGGGGCCGCGAGCCAGGAGCGGACAAAAACACCAGTCTCTGGGAGTGATAAGAAAATGGAGAATACTGTATTTGCTTTAGAAAGTTTTTACATATAGATAAACACCAGTTTAAGATAACAGTAAAAGCGCCCTACAGGGAGTGAGAGATACCTCCAAAGCAGCTAAGAAATATTTGAAATAGCTTTTGCATAAGAATACTACTGTCTCACTCTCCGCTTTCACTAGCGACGGGGTCCCTTTTCCTAACCCGGGCCGCCGTGCCGTGCCGTGCCAGGTCGACGCTAGGAACACCGAGTGGGAGGGGAGCCCCAAAAAGGAAAGAGACGGGTGAGCAGGGAGGGAGGGAGGAAGCGGGAGGAAGAGGAAAGAGAAAGGGAGAGGAGAAAAAGCAAGATCATATACAGGCAATTTCTACACATAGATTACAAACTGGGAAAATGACCGATCATTAAGATATACATAATTCATATAAAATTTTGAAATAAAAATAAAAATCTGTTACAGTCATAACTATTCTTTTTCCACATTTATAACCAGTACCCACACAGGCAGTGACAGAGTGGAGAGAAAAAGGTGCTTACGAAGAAAATGATTGTCTGCTGAACAAAAAAACAGAAGATTGCATCTTGTTTGACCAATACTTGGACTTAAAAACAGAGAAGAGAGAGAGAGTGAGAGAGGAGAAAACAGAGAGAGCGCAACAAAAGGCAAGAAACATTTTCTATTTCCCTCTCAAGGAGTTCTATTTTTTCTTTCTTTTTTTAACAAATTTGGAACGGAGGTGGTGGGTTTTTGTTTTGGGGTTTTTTTTTTCTTTTTTCTTTTTGTCTGTTTTGCTTTTGTAGTCTTGTCGTCGTGGCGGCTGGCTTTGTATAGTCGACTCTTTTTAAATCATTTTAAACTAGAGAGAATATTTTCCCAGATACAAATAAATCGTCATGCAGGTGGGGTGCCGGGTCCATGGGAACCGAAAGGAGAAGCCGTGCTTGTCCTAGAAAGTATACAATTGTCACCTCTTTTATGTTTTCTGCTGGCAACATCAGCGTTTGTGACTGTCTGTTGGCGTCCGGGTCCTTTGGGGTGGCCGTGGTAGTAGATGGTGGCTGGGGGTTGTTGATGGTTTGCAGTTAATTTGTTACTTTTCTTGGTTTTTATATATTTTTGGCTGGGGTGGGAGTGTGTGTGGACTTGTGTGTGTGTGTGTGTGTGTGTGTGTGTGTGTGTGTGTGTGTGCGCGCGGTTGTGTATCCTGATTTCGGTTTGCTCTGGGGATGGAGAAGGAGGAAGAGGAGGAAGAGGAGGAGGGTTTGGAGAAGGAGGGAGAGGAGGGGACTGAGCGGGAGGAGGGAGGCCTTGGCTATCATACATCACATTCCGAGTCGCTGGAGGTTACCGAGAGGATGGAGGTGCCGGTGTCCGCGCGCTCCGTCAGGCTGGACACACTGGTGGTCGGGCTGGCCGCCGTGGACGGCGACTCTGCCGAGCCGTGCGTGGGGCAGCCGGGCTCGGCCAGCGAGCGCATGCCGCTCGGTCCGATGGCCTGGTGCTGGAGCCTGCGGGAGAGAGAGAGCCGCGCCCTCCCTGACACAGCGGCCGGTCACCCGGCTCCCCTGCGCCTCCTCCCAGCGCCCGCACCGCCAGGAGACGGGCCTGCCGCTGCCCGCGCTCCCCAGCCTCCCCAATCGCGCGCCCCTAGCCGCCGCCCCCCGTCTCCGCTGCTTTCTGCGCTCATGCCCTCCTCCAGGCACCCGGCCTCTCCTTGAGCGCCCCAGAACTTCTCCAGCCCAGGTCTTGGCTCTCGGTATCGGGAGCTTCTCAAGGCTTCCCACACAGGGGCTGGCCTCGGAGAGAGGTAGAACACGAGGCCGGCCTCCTGGGGAGGGGTGGGCGCACACAGCACAGGACACCGAGCCCTGGAGGAGCAGAAGTCGGGGAGGGACAGGGCGCGTCTTCCTCCCTAGATCCTGAGTCTCTTCAGACTCGGTGGGCTTCCATGGGATCGGTAGGGTTCCCGCAGTGCTTCCTGTCCCTGCCTGCCTAAACACACAGCCAGAGCTGCGGGGTTTTTCACCCGCCGCCTCTCCCAGGCTGGACCGGCCAGCTTAGTTCTCTGGATCCCTGCGCAGAGCGCAGGATCAGGGGAAGAGAAAATAGGGAAGCTGGAGGCGGAAAAGTGGGGAAAGAGGAGGGAGAGAGAAAACGGTGAAGGGAAAGGCAGGAAAAGGAACGCAGAGCAGTTTCCGGGGCTGCTCCCTTTCTGCGTCGGGATCCTACTGCCTGAACCTAGTGTCTCCGAGTTCTCCCACAAGGAGGATTTTGCCTGGCCCTGGGTGCTCCCCCCTTCCGACGAAATGTGGGTTCCACAGGCAGGGATGAGAGAGCTGTGACTCAGGCCTGAGCCACCTAAACCCAAACGCACTCCAGTAGCTCACACCCAGCCTCCAGCCACCAGCAACTGTCAGCTGAAGGCCCTGCTCCCTGCGGTATACCAGGCCCTGTGCTTTCCTAACTGGGCAGGGACACAAGCTCCGTATCAGGGCTTTCACCCAACTTACTCCCTTCCTTCTCTTTCCCTCCCCACTCCTTTCCCCCTTCTCCGTCTTTCTCTATAGTTCTTTTTCTTCCTACTTCCCCCAGGCATAGCTCCACCGACGGTCAGGCCCAGCACAACTTTATAAATTTGTGGCCAACTTGCCAGCAACGGGGCTGTTCCTGTCCGCTTCTCACCTTAGAGACCCAAAGGGATGCTCCTTGGCTGGAGCAGGAGGGCAAGTACATGCACACGCACACACATACACATACACAAATACACACACTAGGCCTCTCCACTCCAAACGGCTCTCCTGCTCCTGGTCAGGCAATGTGCAATGTCGTGGGTAGGAGGCCGGCAGCCCAGTGGCCGCCGGCCTTTTCCTTTTGTGGCAGGGACCTAGGTTCACTTTACTCTCCCTGACGTTCGTGGACTCCTCTCAGTTTTTGCAATGTGTGGAAATATGAACCACATGGCAAGGAATGATTTCCTTCCCTCCTTGTCTCTAGGCTCCAGAGGAGCACCGAGCTGGGGCCGGGACTGAGGAGGCGGGCTCGGGTGCAGCGCAAGGCTACGGCTCCCAGGGGCCAGGACCAGGGCCTGTGGGCACTCGGGCCGCACGCACACACTCTCCGTCCTGACGAGAGCCCCTCTAGGGCCAAGCAGTCAAGAAATCCACAGCCCGCCTCCTCTTCCACACGTCCCGGGCAAGCGGAAACTTTCTCCACCTGGCCAGGGAGTCGCGGCTTCTCTGGCACTCGGCGGCGGCCCCTACCATGCCCCGCTCGCCCCCATTTCAACCCCGCTCCCTTTCCCGGCCCCGGAGGCTGTAGCCAGGCCGCGGGCCCCGCCATGCCACTGACCTGTTCTTGGCCGCCGCGGCGCGGTCGCGCTGCCGCCGGTTCTTAAACCAGTTGCCTACTTGTGTGGGAGTGAGGCCGGTGGCCTGCGCCAGTTCGCGTTTCTTGCTGGGGTTGGGGTAGGGGTCCTGCAGGTACCACTCCCGCAGCAGGCTCCGAGTCCGCTCCTTGAAGCAATGCGTCTTCTGCTCGCCGTCCCAGATGGTGCGCGGCAGCGGGAACTTCTTGCGCACGCGGTACTTGTCCACCGGGCCCAGTGGGCGGCCGCGCAGCTTCTCGGCCTCCTGGTAGTGCGCCTCGAGCCACATGGCCTGCAGCTTGCCGTGGGACTCCTTGGTGAACTTGTGGTTCTCCAGGATGTGGTAGAGGTCGCGGAAATTGCCCGTGTGGAAGGCGACCACGGCGCGCGCGCGCAGGATCGACTCGTGTTTGTTGATGGCCTCGCACGCCCCAGGGGCCACGGGCAGCGACCAGAGGAAGCGGCCCAGCCGCTCGATGTCGCCCGTCTCCTCCAGCGTCTCGCAGACGCTGGCCACCTGCTCCGGCGAGAAGTTGAGGGTGGGCAGCTGGAACATGGACAACTCTTCCGGGGGGGCCCTGGAGCCGCCGCCGCCGTCGCCGCCGCCTGCTCCGCCAGCACCGCCGCCTGCCGCACGGTTCCCGCCGCCGCCGCCGCCGCCGCCTCCCGCACCGCTCCCGCCGCTTCTTTCTGCCTATGTGAGCACTAACAGTGGCGAGGGGGGAAAAGGAAAGATGAGATCATGGGGCCCACCGCGCACCGACCCTGGCGGCGGCCTCGGTGACCGCCAGGATCCCATATTCAGGGGCATCTGACACCCGGGAGCCCGAGCCCGGGACCCAGGATGCTGGAGGCCGTTCTGGCCTCTCGGTGGGTGCCCGTGGCCTACATTCACCTCAGTTGGCGCGGTCGCGCTGCCGCCGGTTCTTAAACCAGTTGCCTACTTGTGTGGGAGTGAGGCCGGTGGCCTGCGCCAGTTCGCGTTTCTTGCTGGGGTTGGGGTAGGGGTCCTGCAGGTACCACTCCCGCAGCAGGCTCCGAGTCCGCTCCTTGAAGCAATGCGTCTTCTGCTCGCCGTCCCAGATGGTGCGCGGCAGCGGGAACTTCTTGCGCACGCGGTACTTGTCCACCGGGCCCAGTGGGCGGCCGCGCAGCTTCTCGGCCTCCTGGTAGTGCGCCTCGAGCCACATGGCCTGCAGCTTGCCGTGGGACTCCTTGGTGAACTTGTGGTTCTCCAGGATGTGGTAGAGGTCGCGGAAATTGCCCGTGTGGAAGGCGACCACGGCGCGCGCGCGCAGGATCGACTCGTGTTTGTTGATGGCCTCGCACGCCCCAGGGGCCACGGGCAGCGACCAGAGGAAGCGGCCCAGCCGCTCGATGTCGCCCGTCTCCTCCAGCGTCTCGCAGACGCTGGCCACCTGCTCCGGCGAGAAGTTGAGGGTGGGCAGCTGGAACATGGACAACTCTTCCGGGGGGGCCCTGGAGCCGCCGCCGCCGTCGCCGCCGCCTGCTCCGCCAGCACCGCCGCCTGCCGCACGGTTCCCGCCGCCGCCGCCGCCGCCGCCTCCCGCACCGTTCCCGCCGCTGCTACTCGCCAGAAGTAGGGAACGGTGGTGAGAATCGGCGAAGTTTGGCAACAAGAAGTGGGAGGAATAGAGGTCTAGGGGGGAGCGGAATACCATGGACTGACCTGAGAGGAGAGGAGAAAATTCAGGGAGAGGAAGAGAGAGGGGAGGAAGAGGAGGAGAGGGGCGAGGAGGACCAGGAGGAGGGAGAGGAGAGGGGGGAGGAGGAGAGGGGAAGGAGGGGGGAGCAGGAGGAGGAGGGGGAGGAGGAAGGGCGCGAGGGACACCCACACCCCGCACACATCCACACGCACACGCGCCCGCGCAGCCACATAGAGAGGGAGGAAGGGGAGCGGCCCGGCGCGCGCGCGCAGAGGAGGACGCCGGCGCGGACGGGGAGAGGGAGCGGAGAGCCAGCCGCCGCCGAGCCGAGATGCGGCGAGGCCACGGCAATCGCCCTAATGACAACGGCTCATAATATCTCCCCTAAATCCACAGTGAGTGCAGCGTTGAAACATTTTGTTTCGCTTTTCTATTGGTCTGTGGCGTGTCGTTGTGGCGTTGCCACGACAACCGCTGCCAATCACTGTCAGCCCTGCCAATCAATACCGAGAACGTAAGGACGGTTTTACCACTTAGCCAGAGTCGGGGGGAGGAGGAGGAGGGAGCGGGAAGAGGAGGAGGGAGGAGAAGGAGAAGGGGGGAAAGAGAATTTTTTTTCATCTTTGCAACTCTTAATCTCGCCACTTCCCCTTCCTCTCCTCTCTCTCTCTCTCTCCTTTCTCTCTAACTTGTCTCTGAGCCGCCTCCTTCCCTTTTCCCTAAAATAGTTGATCCAGAAATTCAAAAAGCCATGGGCACGGGTCGTTGAATGGGATGAATTTCCTTGGGAGGCAAGAGGCTCCCCCTGCCTCCGGAAGGCTGAGAGGAGAGGCCGCCAGCCACCCAGGGCACGGTTTGCACACGGTGTGCACGTCGGGCGTCCTCTTTCTGCCTATGTGAGCACTAACAGTGGCGAGGGGGGAAAAGGAAAGATGAGATCATGGGGCCCACCGCGCACCGACCCTGGCGGCGGCCTCGGTGACCGCCAGGATCCCATATTCAGGGGCATCTGACACCCGGGAGCCCGAGCCCGGGACCCAGGATGCTGGAGGCCGTTCTGGCCTCTCGGTGGGTGCCCGTGGCCTACATTCACCTCAGTTCCCTCTGCATCAGCTGGGCTTCTCTCTACTCTGCCCCCAGCCGAGGAGCCTTGATTTCCTCCATCACCCTGTGTTTTAGAGTATCGGGGGAAGCAACAGTGCACCTCTTTCCATCTTAAAAAGCAACCCGACGCTTACTCTTTGTTTCTCCCCAGACTTCGGCCGCCTCCCTCAGGAGTTGTGGAGAAGCACCAGGAGCCGTGAAACCCTCCAGAACCCTGGGAGTCCGTAGATGCCCACTCCCCCCGCCATACACACCAGAAGGAGTTCTGGGCCTACAGGCCAGCCCCCCCAAAACACCCAGATTTTGGAGGCCACCTCCAGGAAGCGAATAAGGCCGAAAATTACTTGTTTGCTCATATTGTAAAAAAAAGAGAGAGAGAGAGAAAAGAAAGAAAAAGAAAAACCTGTCTAATTTCTCCAGAAAAAGTAACACTGCAACCCTAAAACAGATCCCCAGAGGCCTGTAGAATGCACATGGCACTCCCTGCCTCCGACCACCACAGCCCCCAGGCCAGGCATGAGTATTTATTCTTAGGTATGTTGCTTTTAAGAAGATGTAATCAGCATCTTGAGCCGGGCCTCCCTTTGTGAGGCTTCTGTAACTATGGAAGTGTGATTTACGCAGATTTGTCGGGGTCAGAGACGTCTTTCCCCACGCACTGTGTATATTTAGACAGGACTCGGTTTGGTGTTAAAAAGTGTATATGTTGAATGGATTCACACACAGTAGCCAACAATGCCCACATTGTCGGCCCGTGTACAACGCGTATTGAAACGCAGCGCCCAGACTTCAACTAATCTGCCCTCAATAAAGCTGAAATAATTATCCTAAGCTGCCTTTCCAGAAGAGAAATCATTGAGGAATTCAAAACTTTTTTTTTTTTTAAGATCTTTTCTGCATTCCGATGCAGATCTGGGGGCGAGGCACCGGGTCCACACCACTTTGGAGATCTCAATAAGGGAAGAAAGAAAGAGAAATTGAGAGAGAATTTAAATGGGGGACCTAACGTGTCTGGAGCCACAGGGTCCCAATCCTTAAACTCTGCGCTTAGGCCCTGCTCGGGCCTTGACTTCCGCAGCACCAGACCTCGAGGGCTGAGCAGTGCGAGCAGTCTTGGCGGCACCAGGGCCTCAGGGAGGCTCTGGGCTGCGCTGGGAGCCCATGCTGGCTCACCCAGCCTGATGCAGCCGAGGACAGCGGGTCCTAAACTCGCTGAATTGGGCAGAGAAATATTCCGCAAAGGGAAGACCCTCCAAGCCTCACTTCAGTGGTCTCTGCCCTGCATACATCTTCCTCCCAGCCGGGAGCCCTTTTCCACTCAGCTGCGAAGCTCTTGGCGGTCGTTCACTGCCGGCCCAGAAAGAGCCCAAAGGTTGGGACACAAAAACAGACACTTCATCTTTTCTTCCCACTCCCTTTCTCTCGCAGGGGAAGGATTATAGGCTGAAGGGTGGGAGGGGAAGGGGCAGGAGGAGGAAGCGGGGGAGGAAGGAATGAAAAGGGGGAGGGGAGTGGGTATTGTGCCGCGTGTGGGGGGAGAATTCCTACGGGTGGGTTTCCGAATATTGTGTTCAACTTTTTGAAAGCAGCTCGTGACCCCGAAACTGCATCCCCCGGAGCCGGGGACCCAGGCGCCGGGCGGGCGGGCGAACCCGGCCAGTCCCCTCCCCGTCCCGGCAACCCCCGCCTCCGGGTGGGGGCGACCTGTCCTCTCCCCGCTGCCGGGCCAGCCCCAGAGGGAGGCTGGGCAGGTGCCGCGGGCTCTGTCGAAAGCGCTGAAATCGAAAACCGTCATCACTCGGAGAACCGAGGCAAGGGGGGCTGAATCTCCGCTCTGCGACACCCCTGCCCCCAGCCTCTGCCCAGGCGACTGCCGACCCGCCACATCCCGACTGCTCGGGTGGCGGCCGCGACTGGGAGCGAAAGCCGGGCGGAGGGCAGCGGCAAGTCGCGCGGCTTTGTGCGGCGGGACCTGGCGGGGCGGGTGGCAGCCCCGGGCTGTCTGTGCCGCCCCGCAGAGCCGAGCTCCGCGCCGCCCACCGAGCCCACCTCGCGGTCCCGTCGCCGCCAGCGCCTCTGCTCTGGTTTGAAGCACCGCGCCCGCCTCCTGGAGCCCGTAAGTTGAGAGTCCCGAGAGCTGGGCAGGAAGGCGGGGCGGCTGGTCGAGCCGTGCGGATGGTCGGACTGGCTCCCGGCACATTCCGCAGGGGCTCGGTCTAGGGATGTTGAGGGCGTGTGTTTGGGTGGGTCTAGGGATGCTGAATGTGTGTTTGGGTGAAAAGAGGAGCTGTCGAGCACCAGAACTTCCCCTCCCAAATTCCCAGGCACTGGGCATAAGGAAGGAGGGTAAGAGCAGAGGGACCTCGGGTTCCAGGGCCCAGGCCGCCTACTTTGCTGATCTGGGGACTCCTAAAGGGGGTGGAGCGCAGAGGGCGCCTTCATCCTGGGTTCCTCAAAGCGGCCAGAGGAGGTGGATAGGTCAGCCCATGGGGCCTCGAGGTCTCTCCCCTGGCCTCTGGCTGCTCAAATTAAGGGGTCTGGGACTTGGGCGGGTACAGGCTGAGGTCACCTGTGCAGGACAAAATTGCCGCCATCGTCCCCTCTTCAATTCCAACCCCAGCGATCGGAAGAACAGCGTTCAGTTGGTGCAGAAGAGAAGAGAGGGTGTTTGGGCTGGAGAGTTTTCTCCTCCTACCAGGCCCATTGGCCATTTATTTACAAATGTCAGCCCCAACCTCAGCACTGGGAAAGTCTGAACTCCACCAGTAGAAGTGCCTGAGAGACC